TTTTCTATAGTGCTGGGCTACTTATGGCAAAAAAATTAAAGGGCAATTTATTGACTGTTTATGGGGATAGTAACATTTCCCTCTGTTTTCTAGTAAAAGATTCAAAGATTGCAAGATTCATAGCAGCATTAAATGTTTTTTTTTTCTTCTCTATTTTATGGTTTAATTTTTTATTCTTTTTCTTTTTAAAATTCCTTTTTTTGAATTTTTTATTTTATTCCATTCATTTTTTTAAACTTTTTTAAATTTATTTTTTAATTTTTCTATTTTATTTATACATTTATTTACGTATTTATTTTGTGTTTTTCAAATATTTTTTTATTTCACTTTTCGCTACTTGATTATGATAACTTCTCAGTTATTCAGTCATATTATTATGCAATCTTGAGAGAAACTATACTTGACAATCAGTCAAGATTTTCTATAATTTTTGTTGACCGGAGTTCTTGCTGAGTTGTCAGACAAACAAACCTGTCGGAAAATTGAGCTATCAAGCAAACGGCGTCGTGATGTGTACGTGTACCAAGAGATGTGTATGTGTTACAAAAAAAAATCATTACCATGCTAAATATTATATCAAAAGAGCGGTTTCTCTTTTATGTTCTTTATGTTACTGTTCATAAAATAATACCGTCTAATCTAATAAATGATCAGTTTTCTAATATAATGCGATTTTGTCAAATTTATATCAAAGTATAATGCATTTTTTAGAATGATACGTATCAATAATGGAAAATTTGAAAAATCATTTCACAGGCAGTTAAAAAGAGATCCTCAAGAAGAATTAATTTTCGTATTTGTTAGATGTTCAATATTTTTAATGCATGCATTCATTTATTTCTTGATACTATTTTTCTATTACTTCCCAACTCCCATTATTTTTTTGGCAATCATCTTCATTTCTCGCTTCAAAACATAAATTTCATGAAAAAAAAATTTCTAGTTTTCTATGATAGATAGACGTTAGCCTCCTTACTTTTTGTGCTTTCATATTCAACTTAGAAAATAATTACCTACTGACAATGAAATAAATTTCTCTGAGGAGAACTTTTCGGGTCAAGAATAAATTAGGTTGCATTTATAATTGTTTACAGGTGAGAGCGAAAACTTTACAAATAAAACTCTCAAACTACCTATATCATGATATGACAGACCAGCATGTTAAGTTTGTAAACGACCTTTTGGGACACCCTGTATATGAAATGGTCCTTCACTGGGTAGTGTTATTTCACTGGTTGGTTTACCCTATATGAAAAATAAAAAAATAAAAACAGACATTTTAATAAAAACAGAAAAAGTATTTGAATAAATACATTTTTAGCAAAATTGTTATAACTTAATTTTTATCAAAATAAGGCCAAAATATTAATTACAGTTATTAAATGTTGCAAATCCAGTTACTTCTTGCAAAAATGTTAATAAAACACAAAATCTTTCTTTCTTAAAAACAAAATAACAGTTCACAGAATAAAATTCAATAATCATATTTAGCCACAGTTGTTAATAATTAGAGTCTTAAAACATTCTCAATTAATAATAAAATAATTGAAATACTTTTCCCAATCATAATAAAATATTCAAGTTTACCTTTGTAATACCATTAAAAACGTATTATATGCTGATATTTAAGAAGTTTAAATTAAAGAGTGAAAATAAAATTAGAAAGAATTTTTAAAAAAATTGATTAAAAACATTTCAAAACTGCTCAAAATTTTTTCCTCTTTATAGACCAAATTTAATGACACTAAATACACAAATTTCATTCATTTGAGCGCCAAACACATAGAAAAACTTTTCTAATTTTATACATGTATAATTAAATTTAAATAGTTATCAGGATAAATATTTAAACTAAAACTAATTAAGAGCTTATTATATAATATATAAACAGCAAGATAATTCATCAATTTTTATAAATTTTATAATTAATGAATTATGTAACAAACACATGAACAGTAGGAAGTATGAACAGTAGGAAGTTTTCTTAATTTTTATAATTAATAATTTCTGTAACAAACATTTCAATTTAAATAACATATTATTTATCAACAGCTACAGAATATTCTTAAGTTTTTGTGATTAATAATTTAACATTTCAGTTTAAATATTTGTAAGGGTAAATGCTAAAATTAAGAATTTGTAAATAACATTGAATTTATAAGTGGCTAAAAAATTGATAGATTTTTACAATTAAGATCCATATTTTTATTACAAACATCTTGTGACCTTGAATTGATCTTCGCATTCACTTAACTTTTAGAGAAAGCAGTAAAATTCCTTTCCCTTTTTGTGTTTGCATTTCATACAGAAAATGCAACACCTCTAGAAAAGGGGGGAGGGGTCAAATTCCTTGAATAGGAAATGAGCAGGAAAGATAGAGGGTCTTCAAAGTGTGTGGTCTTCATACCAAAAGTCCTACGCGTATCCTCAGGGGTACGGGAACGGTTTAGCGGGGTACGCGAAATATCTTGCAGCAAACGAAAATTTCAAAAAATTTTATTTGAAAACAAAGCTAGCTATGAAAATTTACGATTACGTATTTTTTTATTGGCTATTTTTTGCAGAGTTAACAGTTAATAATTAGTGGTGTCAACAACCAGTTGTGATTTTTAACTTTTGTGCAATTTTTTTATAGTAAAAAATACATAAATTTTTTTATTAGTGGTACACAGCGTTACGAAAAATTTAGAAAGGGTACACAAAAGTCATAAGTTTGGGAAACACTGCTTTACAGGAAGGGTTTATAAAATGAGAAATTTTGCGGAGCCTTTTTAATTTCAAAAATATGAAAAACTAGACTTTCAATAGTTTCACAATATATACATCACAGTATACGTCAAGTTCAGTATACGTCATGTGCTATGGGGATAAAGCGTTCGCCTCCCAATAAGATGAACCGGGTTCGAGCTCCAGCGATGGCTGGTCGATACTAATGCCGCACCCAACTCGCATCAACCACAGTGCTGACGTAAAATATTCTCAGTGGTAGACGGACCATAGGTCAGTGTCCTCTTGCCGTCGGACTAAACGTGGAAGGTGTTCGTGGTTTTTCTCACCATATAACGCTAATGCTGGTTAAGTTTCAACAAAAAGTCCTCCACGAATGCGAAATTTCTCCAAATACTTGATCCTGGAGTTCTTTTGTCTTCAGGTTAGGTTTCAAAATTTCAAGGAAACGGCATTGCACAATGGAACCGTAAACTCAAAAATTTGGTCGGCTGTTTAGTGTCGGTTATAAAATAGAGTAAAAATAAGTTTACTTAGTAAACTACTGCAGAAAATAAATACTTTTAATTAAAAAAAAACATGCGTTTTTAAATTTTTTTTCTTCATATTTATCAGTAATTAATTCAACAAAAAAATTTTTATAATCCATCTATATTTAAATATTGGGAAAGAGGAATAGAAACTCTATCAAAAAAATTTTAATGCTCACTGACTGAAGAGTAAAAAAAAATGCATATAAATTTTAGTGAGTAATATAAAATCAAATTAAATATTTTTATTAAAAAAAATTTATAGGGTTCAAGCAAAAAGTGAAATTTAAGGGAAAAAAAACCATTATTGCATAAAATAAGATTCGATGTTTATTTTGTATCAAGCGTTGTTATTTTTTGAATTTTTAGAGGTTTTATGAATTTCAAATACGAAACGTTTTCTTTCTAAAAAATCCCCTAAACACCAAAAAATTTAAAACAAAATTACAAACAGTGAGCAGCTTAAAAATTCGATTTTTCCTCTACTTTAATAATTCTTCTTGTTGCATTCCTGTTGCATTAAAATTTTTGAAATTCGGAATTCCGTCATCTTTATTACCAAAAAGATGACGGAAAAGTAACTAATATTTACGAAGAAATATGCAAAAATAAATTGTAGCAACAAGTGATAATTTAAATTTATTCTAGTAATAATTGAAAAAAAAAAGCATTGATTTACGACAAAATTAGCACGTATAAAGCTCATCTATGAGTAATTATTTGAATGCATGATTTAAAATTCGCATGTTGTAATAAAAATTGGATTTTTTAAAATCATCAGGGTTTGCATTATGAAAACTGCCAAAAAACAATCAAAGAATAAAATGGATTTTCAATGATAACGAACAAAACACAGTGCATTAAAAAGTGATTATTTAAGTGAACAACCGGTCATTTTTCCAAGATGTAAAAGTCCATCAATGCAAAAAATTCGCTAAAAAAGCAGAATTTTTATTAAAATGTCCAAGATCTCTAATAAAAATATTGATCCTTTAAGAATACATGAATTTGATATGGAAAGATTCAAGCGAAAGGAGTGTTCTTTGACGAATCACATATTTCAAAGTTACAATGTATAAACTAGATGCACTTTGCTTCCCAAAGTATTTTTAAATAAAGTTATTTTTGAAGTCAGTATATTTAACTAAATTTTGTCTCATATTCACATTATTTTTTTTATGTATTAAACTTTAAAGCTGTAAGTTTGTCTTATATATATATATATTTTTTAAAAACTATATAACTTAATTTCATATAACGGTAATATAAATATAAAAAAAAAAATTGCAAAAATTGACTTTTAAAGAAAAAAGACGTACCAATATGTCACAGACTCATTAGGTTATTGTGTCACACATTTTGAGTTTCTTAGTCTAAATATTTTTTTTTTCCAATTACAGTTAATTAGTTTACAAATCTAAGTAACCATTACTTTCGTTATGATTAATCATAATCATATCAATCTTGCAGTTTCATACATAAAACTATAAAAATTTTGTGCTTTAGGAAGAAAATAAACTCTTTCTTTTCTTTTTTAATTAATTAATTTTCTTTTTTTTTTTGAAAAATTTGGACTTTTTTTGGAAAAAAAAAGAAAATGCACAAACCACGTGGATTGTAAGTCAAGCATACTGGGGGAGGAGTCTCCTAGTCTTTAGAAAAGGTGACGACATACATGCACACTTTGACATATGACGTGCGTATGACATTCAATCCTATTGGCTTGTTCAAAATGCACATTGCGCATGCGTACTAGCTGGTTTAATAACTTTGAATCTCTTACTAACTGGAAGTTAACCAATCAATACTAGGGTCTTACTATTCAGAGCAATGGTTGACTTTTCCTTTCCAGAATTCTTTGAAGACTTATTTTCTACATCTTCAGATGAATATTTTACCGCTGACGAAAAATGCTTTCTTCTTTCATATAGAGATAAAGCTAATAACATGAGAGATACTACTTTTGGTGTCATATTGCATCATATGTTTTTTAATGTTATATATAATAAAGTCGATACCATTGATATTGTCCTAAAAATGATCAAGGAACTTAAATTGGATCTTTGGACTATGTTCCAGAATAAAGTTCCATGGGGAGGCGACTTTTCTAGTGGTAGTCTCCGAAGTAATCACGAAGCATTCATCAGAATAACAGAAGCAGGAGCCTCTAACAGAACAACAATAGAACACCACTATAATTGGGTCAACTTTAAATTGTAAGTTTTTATTTTGGTTACTTTTTTGCTTAAATTTTTTTAATCTTTTTTATGTTTTACCCTTTATTAAAATAATTAGTGTCATTATCTAAATTTAGTTTTACGATTTTAAGATTGAAAAATATTTTTTTTTACTTTGATCGGTAATAATTGAATATAATAATTTTAAAATAAATGTACAGCTAATGCAACTTTCAAATCTTGTTAAAGCTATAATTAGTGAAAATTCTTTATATTTAAATTCGAAAACGCCCCCTCCATAACATTAAGGCGCAGTGCTCATTAGAATGTAGTGCATTTGCTCATTAATTTTAGTTTATTATCATTGTTTTCAGAATATCTCTGATTCCTCAATATATTTTGGAGCAAGCAATTCTCAATAATTGATAGCAGACACTTGCATCCTTATAATTGTTTTACCCAATTGTTTTTTTATTTTTTTATCGAAGTAACATTATATTTTAGGAGACAAAATTCCATATTTTCATATTCATTTTTTGCTTTAACTTTATTTATTCCCGAGTCATTTTTTTTTTACAAATTCTCTTTATCGATGCATAGTAGGTATAGCTTTTTTAAAACTTCTTTGTCTTTCTTTCACCCGATTATTTTAACTTAGAATAATCATTTTTGTATTCTATCAAACAAAATTCATAATTTTCAGGTTTCTTTTTTTCTTCTTTTTTTAAATATTTTATAGATGTATTGTAGAGATTTTTTTAAGCTCTTTTTTTTACCCAGTTGTTTTAATTCAAAATAATATTTTTTATTTTGTCATTCACAATTTTCAGATTTCTTTTTTTTCTTCTTTTTTTTAAATATTTAATAGATGTATTGTAGAGATTTTTTAAGCTCTTTTTCCTTTTCCCAGTTGTTTTAATTCAAAATAATATTTTTTACTTCCTCATTCATAATTTTCAGATTTCTTTTTTTTTTTAAATATTTAATAGATGTATTGTAGAGATTTTTTAAGCTCCTTTTTCTCTTCCCAGTTGTTTTAATCCAAAATAATATTTTTTACTTCTTCATTCATAATTTTCAGATTTCTTTTTTTTAAAAATATTTAATAACGTATTGTAGAGATTTTTGTAAGCTCCTTTTTCTTTACCCATTTGTTTTATATCAAAACAATATTTTTTATTTTATCTTTCATACTTTTCAGATTTCTTTTTTTTCCCTTTTTTTATATTTAATCGATGAATTGTAGTGATTTTTAAGCTCTTTTTTCTTTACCCAGCTGTTTTATTTCAAAATAATATCTTTTATTTTTTCATTCATAATTTTCAGACTTCATTTTTTCTTCTTCTTTTTTTATATTTAATAGATTTATTGTAGAGGTTTTTTTAAGCTCCTTTATCTTTTCTTTACCCATTTGTTTCAATTCAAAATAATATTTTTTATTTTATCATTCAAAATTTTCCGATTTTTTTTAAATAACTTAATGAATGCATTGTACAGATTAATTGCTAAACTTCTTTATCTTTATTTTAACCATCAGTATTAGTTCAGGATTATAATTTTGCATTTTATCAAACAAAATTCATATATTTTTTTTTCCTATTTTTTGTACTTAATGCTTTGCCTTGGTTCTTTTTTATGCTATTTCTTTTACTTTGTATCTTTTGTATTATTACAATTTTATATATTTTTTCAGTCACTTATTTTCTACTTATACATAAATGTATGGTAGATTTTAATTATGAGCTTCCTTATCTTTTGTACCTAATTTTTTTCAGATCGAAATGATATTTCTTGTATTTTATCAAACAAAATTTCTAATTTTCTGAATTTCTTTGTCAATATTTGTTTCTTAATTTCTGATTCTCTTCTTATTATCTCGCATTACCTCTAAATGTCTTTCTCGTAGATGTCTTTCTCATGCTATATCATTCCTTTACCTATTTGTTTTAAATCAGAGAAATATATATATATTTTTTTAGCAAATAAAATTCATTAGTTTCAGACTTTTTTGCGCTTATTTTTTATTTTTTGCCCTTTTTTTTTATAAGCGATTTTACGTGTTGTATATTCATCTATAGCTAATGCAAGTGCTTCACATTTATAGTTTGGCGTCTTGGGGCCATTGTTTTTTTTTTAAATTTTTCAGGAGATTAATTTTTTATGTTCTTTTTCTTTTGTTTGTCCATTTCCTTTAATTTAAAATAATAATTTTGAACTTTATTGAAATCACGAAATTGGTAATTTTCAGATTTTTTTCCTGTTATTATATTTTTTCTACAATTAATTGTAGCAGTTCTGTTTATGCCTAAAATATTGTTTAAATTCAGGTTAATGTTTTTACTTTCTGTGAAAAATTATTTAACGGCCATTTTTTGAGAAAACAATATTCACATTGAGTTAAAAAATCCAGGAAATAAACTGATGGATTCTGCACAAAAGTTTAACATCGTTGAAAGTTTCTATCTAATCTAAAATGCTTTTCTTAAATTATGTATCGAAACAATGCACGCGATTGTAACTGATTTTTGATTTCAAGTTATTGACAAGATTTTTACGCAGTTCTTGAGTTTTATTTCACTGAATATATAGATAGTTGGGCTTTACATAGACATTTTTTTTTTGAAAGGAGCGGTTTCACTTTATATTTTATATCGGGATTTCATATTTTATGTCAGATTTTTTAAGCATTGTGTAAAACGTATATTTTATGGTTTAGAAAATATTGTCCACATGTTTCCCATTACAAAGATAATTTAAAATTTAACTTAACATAAAACACATATTCTACATATCAAACCCAATTTGCCGCTGTGAGTGTAGATTTTCAATTTTAAGTGTAGATTTTCAATTGACTAATTTTAATTGCTTTTTTGAACCGTGTAATTTATTTTAAATGGAATATACAGTTATTGTTTTATATTTTACTCAAAGAACATTAAGGGTTCAAAAATAAAATAAAAACTGGACAAACAATTCTTTATATAACTTTATAAAAGATAAGTAAATTATCTTTATAGCCAAAAAATAATACGAGCATGCTTCTGATAATTAATAAATTTTAATTTGTTATAAAGTAGCCAAATTTTGCAGCGATGTCGAATCATTATCTCATTCCAACAGAAGCGATTGCTTTAGAGAGACCAATTTTTAATGTAGAACGATTGTATAGAGACCAGACGGGCGATTTCAAACAGTTGTTTTCTTGCTTAAACAACTTTAAAATAGCGGTTCCTTTGCTTGATATTGTAAAAAGGTAAAAAAAAGAAAAAAAATAAATAATGATAATTGCGTACACCAGAAAATATACTATTAAGTATTTTACAATTAGTGTGGAAAAAACTAGCAAAAAGTGAAGCCAAAATTTAAAAAGGGATTAGTTAATTTCTATTCTGTGATGCAATTACTTTGTCCGAGTTTTTTGCTGCATCCGGTAAATTTCTCAATTCGTCCAGCATTGATTTTTGATATTATAGTGAAGCGAGTGTGATAACAGTTTTGTCGTATACATAGAGAGTATGGTTGAACTGTTGTTTTATCACTTTAATACAAGATAGACTCATTCAGAAGGTTAGCAAATATTTATTCACCATAGCTGTTCTATTTTTCATCCAGACTGTTGCCATGCAACATACAAGAAATGATTTATAATCATCTTGCTTAATCGATTTCTTGTATGTTGCATGGCAACATTCTGGATGAAAAATAGAACAGCTATGGTGAATAAATATTTGCTAACCTTCTGAATGAGTCTATCTTGTATTAAAGTGATAAAACAACAGTTCAATGGTGAATCGGACGTGATTTCTAATATCTTATCGGCAATGTCGGCTGCTTTTTCTAAAGATAAATCTGAAACGGCTACTAAATTGTTTGCACTGATGTCGGCAAACGCTGCAAAAATAGTTCTAACATAAACTTTTTAGGGACTTATAATGTTTTTGCATGACGTTTCATAATCCTTAATTGTTCGGAAGGCTTCCTATTACCCAGTTCTTCACCAGACAAAAATTGGCGAATTTCTTGTTGCGATGATTCGCCTGATCTAACAATTAATTCTGTTTTTAAACTAGTGTAAGGATCTGTAGCATCAGGATTCATTAAAATATTGGCTAGTTCTTATCACGTCCGGAGGTCACCAATGATCGGAATTAATTATCGACTATTTCAACCTTCATTTATCAAAAGGTACCTCGAGATACAGTCGTGTTAACTTGTCTTATATATACTAGTGATTTGGTATTTAATACTTTCAGTGGTAGTTACGCCACATGGTACAAAATATTTCAAATTTGACTACACATTAAAAAATTTCTATCTAACTATCATTCTATATGTAAAAAAAAAGTAAGGGTCGCTGCTGTGAAAACCCCAGAGCCTTTTAAACCACAGAAGGTCAAGATTTGTGTTGCCAAGACTTTTTTAACCTAATTATAATAAAAATAATAAGCACCTTTAATAAAAATAAGAAGCACCTTTAGTATTTTAACATGATAAGCAGGCTTAGGACATTTTCCGGCACAGTGTAAAAGATCGTGCCAATTAAGGAAATACCCAACAAGAACTTGAAATCCCTAATATCGATTATTGTTGCACTGAATTAACCCTTTCGCGCCGACTGTCACAAATACGTGACAGCATAAAACTGCATCAATCATTGTAAAAATATAAAACTGGTAATCAAAGTATTTCTTTAGCAGTTTATTTGTAGGCGGAATTATAATTGTTTGATTTATTTAATTCACCATTACTTTGTTCAAAATAAAACTATTTAGTTATACTTTGAATTAACATTGATTATATATATGATTAAACTAACAATAATTAAAGTAAAAGCAAAGTAAGTCTGTCAAATTAGCAACGACCACATTTAAGTTACCGTTTTTTATTTAATTACAACTTGATTCCGATTTTGTACGAATGCTTTTCTGAATCACCCGTCCCCAAGGGGTTAAGGAATAACAAGAGTAATATAAATAATGCACTGAAATGAAGGGTTTAATTAGCGATTTTATTATTATTTATGTTAATTTATAAACTGA